CGTTCCTGGGCGCGGTGTCGCGTTCCCGGAGCGTTTCCCGACAATAAAAGACGCTGGGATCGCGATATTCCCGACCGGCAGCGTCCTGGCACAGGGAACTGCTGTGACAGGCGTGGGGGGGGCAGGGTGGCAGATGCCAGGGTGGTGGGAAAGGGGTGAGGTGGTTCCCGATGTGGTATCTTGGGATGTGGAGCTGCTGGTGGATGGGAGCGGGGTCCCCTGAGGTGTTCCCGGTGGCAGGAATGAGGAGAGAGGACCTGGCTGAGCACCGCAGCACCCACGCCTTGGGTCCCTCCGGGAGGCAGGGCAGGGAGAACAGTCCTGGGGAACTGGAAGGGCCCTGGACAGGGAGAAGAGTCCTGGGAAATGGACAGAGAACTGGGCCAAGAGAAGGGTCCTGGTGACTGCATTTCCCTGCTGGTTTTCCCCACAGCTGGGCTTCAACATCCGGGGAGGAAAAGCCTCGCAGTTGGGAATCTTCATCTCCAAGGTGTGTCCGTCCTTGTGCCGTTCCCGCCCGGATCCTGCCTGTGCCGGTGGGAGCAGCTGAGCCCCAGGGAGGCTCTGCTGCCTCAGAACATCCTGCACCACTCCCTGCTCTCCTCCCAGCCCCTGGAATTGCTCCCAGGGCAGTGTGGGAGGGGAGCTGTGGGACATCCCCGGCTGCCATCCCTGCTCTCCCTTCCCAGGTGATTCCCGACTCGGATGCTCACAGGGCCGGGCTGCAGGAGGGGGACCAGGTGCTCTCAGTGAACGATGTGGATTTCCAGGACATTGAGCACAGCAAGGTGAGCGCTGGGATGGGGAATCCACCTCCCTGCAGCCTCTGAGCCCAGCACAGAACCCATGGAATGCTCTTTCCTCATTTTCCAGGCCGTGGAGATCCTGAAGACGGCGCGGGAGATCACGATGCGCGTCCGGTACTTCCCCTACAGTACGTGCCCGGTCCTGGGAGGCTCCTTGGGAAGCAAATGCCATCAATCCCTGCCCATTCCAGCCCATTTTAGCAGCTTGAGGTCACTGATTGTTGATTTGGGAGCAGGCACCACATCAGGATAATAAGGCTTGGCTTTCCACGTAGGGAAACTCGGAGAGCAGGAAGGTGGGATGGCTGGGAATGGAAAAGTTAATTTAAAGCTCAGGACTTTCAGCTGATTTTCCTTGAATGACACAGGAATGAGGTCTGGCACAAGTGCAAATGCTGGATATCCCTCCCTAAGGATGTTTGAATTGTGTGTGAAGGGTTAACTCCCAGATTCTGCTTCTGCACCTGTAAAGTTCCAAGATTTAAGGGATAAAAAAGGGAGAAGTCAAACCAAACAAGGATTCTTCATAGAATGGAAAGTGGCCATTATGAAGAAAATAAAAGGAGTAGGGGAAGAGGGGGTTTTAAATTTCAAAAAAAGCATTTTGTTCTGAATGCCCTAAAATCACTAAAGTGACTGGTGGGGGTGCACTTTTAAAGCCAGAGGGTCTCCAACACTGCCTCCACCTGGGAATGTGTGTTTTCCTGAACATTTTGGGTGATTTCCCCTGGCCATGCTCTCCTTGTCCCTCCCTCCCAGATTACCAGCGGCAGAAGGAACGGACAGTTCACTAACAGGGAGCTCCATCCTGCCAGAACCTCTCCACTCCTTCTTCCCAACGTCTGAGATGACTCCTCACGGTTCAGCTTTCACTGGAGGCACCCCTGGCCTGCACAGGATCAGCTCTTTCCCACGTGGGGAGATGCCAAGGGGCTCATGTGGCTGGAAGGTGGCTGGGGATTGAGGCTGTGCTCCTGGGAATGGGTGTTGGGAAAAGCTGGTAGGAAGTGGGTGCTGGGGGGCAGCTGCTCCAGCAGGATCCAGATTTTAGCAAGACTTCAATTAAGTGAGTTCTGGGCTGGTTGTGGATCCCTTGATCCTGGATCCCTGGTTGTTGAGCATTCCTGAGCAGAGCACAGGCATTGTCCTCCAGGAAATTCACTTGTTTCACTCTCTTGTGCCATGGAATTCTTTCCTTCTCCTCTCTCCCACCTCTGCTCTGCATTGCTGGGTTTGCTGGCAACTCCAGGAGTAAAATCCAGCCCCAGTTCATGCACAGCTCTGGCTGTTTGTGCCTCTTTGCTGATAACACCCCCACAATATAGGACTGGGATATTTGCAAATGTTAATTACCAAGTAAATTATCAGCAAATGCCTGGTGGGATCACGTTGTAATGGCTTCAGGACAGCCCTGGCTCTGACTTCTCTTCTTTGTGGCGTTTTCCACTTTTTCTGTAAAAACAATCAATAAATCAAGTACAGCAGCCTGAATTCAGCTTCTTCCCACTCAGGAAGTCTGTGTGGAGGTTGGGATGTACCCACCATGAGCTCCATTCCAAGGAAATGCTGGGACAAGGCTCAGCTCCAGTCACCCTTGCAGCCTGCAGGAGAACATTTGGGATCTGCAGCTGTTTCAGGGGCTTTTCCCACAGACTCTGCTGGAAATCAGCCCCTGGTGAGCCTGGAGTGTTCCAGCACTGCTGGGAAGGAGCAGGGCAGGATTGTGGCTGTGGTGGCACCAGCACAGCTCCAGGAGCAGGGCAGGGAACAAGGAAAAGAGATTTTCACTCCGAATTAAAAATCAGCTTTTCCACCAGGGGAATGAACATCCTGGAAGCCCCTGCAACAAGGGAAGGAGACCTCTTGTATCCCCTCTCTGATTTCCCACAATCTGTGTTCCATAGGGAAGGAGAAGCTGCAGATCCAATTTCAAGGTTGGGTTTGTCCCTCCTGCTTCAGAGCATTCCCTGGCAGGAGCTCCAGGTCTCCCCTGCCTGGGGCAGCTCCTCCCAGGGAATGACTCAGGTGTTTTCCTGCTGACCTGGCTGACAGGAAAGAGTGGATTCTTTCTGAAGGCACATTCATGTTTTGGGTATGTTAATTAGCAAAGCTTCAAGGCCACCAGAGTCCATTTCATCCTCCAGAATTTGAGCAGTTGCTGATTCCTGGTGGGAAAACAACAGCTCCAGAAATACTGGATTTTTTTTAGTGACACAAAACTGGGCTGGGAGGCACAAATTTATAAAATCATGGACTGGCTTGGGTGGGAAGGATCATCCAGTGCCTGGATAGGGAGGGCAGGGACACCTCCCACTAGGCCAGGTTGTTCCAAGCCCTGTCCAGCCTGGCCTTGGACACTTGCAGGGATGAAGGGAGCACTGCCAGGGGTTCAGGCTGCAGGGAAGCAGCACTGGCAGAGTCCTGCAGGTCTTGCTGGAGCAGCAGGATCAGTCCCAGGGGTGTTGCAGGGCAGGACTCACCTGAGAACTCCATTCAGAGTCACATTTGCATCCACAGAGTCCTGTTGTTATCCCAAAATAGGGATCCTTCTTCCCAAGCTTTGGTAACCTCCCCCAGGGCTGAGATCATTCAAGCATGTCCAGCCCTAACCCTCAATGAGGCAATTCCAGCCACAACACCTTCCAACACCTGGACATCACTTCCAGCTCATTACCTGCTCAATTTCTTGGATTAAATCTCAATTTTTGCTGATCAGGCTTGAAACTAACAAAGATCAAACAATCATCAAAGACAAGACCTCCAGAGAACATTGTTACATATTCCACATTTTGCAATAACATCAGCAAAGTCCTTTCTCCTCCTCCATCCTTTCTCCCTCCCTCCTGTCCCTTGTTCTCCATTCCTCCACCTCTGTCCTTCTTCATCACTCATCCTTCCTCCTCTATCCCTCCTTCATGCTGTCTGCTCCATCCTTCCTCCTCCTTTTCCTTTATTCCTCCTCATCTTCCTCCTCCATCCCAGCTCAGGACAGGAATGTCACAGCTCAGAGCAAACCCCTGTTCCCCCCCAGCCCGCCGTGGCAGCAGGAGAGCGCGGTGTTGGTGAAATAACTTTATTTATTTAGTGATACACTGTGGCTGTGTCACACAGTCCTTACTCAGAGTTACAGTCACACTTACTCGCTACAGCTACAAGACAGCGGGGCCGGACACACGGCAGGAACACATCCAGAAAAACAGTGGGAAGGGATCTATGGGATTCACTAATTACCCCCCGCCCCTAATTGGGGTCTCCCCCCTCCCGCCCCGGTCCGTGACTCGAACAACACGAAGGGACAGCAGAGCTGCCAGGGAGGGACAGGGACAGCAGAGCTGCCTGGGCAGGGACAGCAACACCTGTTCTACAGACACGGACACCGACACCAGCAACTCCCACAGGGGCTATGTACAGGGAATGGGATCAGCTTCCCGAGGGGTGGGACAGGACTCACATCCCAGCTTCCTCCTGCGGCCAGCTGGCCCAGGGGAGGGGACTCTGGGGACCTCAGTGAGCTGCTGCCAGGCCAGGGCTGCCACATCCCAGCACAGGGCTGTCCCTTCCCCTCCTTGGGTCAGGGATGGAGGGACACCCTGCCAAGGGAAGGGAGGGAGTGACACTGACCCCCCCGCCGTGGTCACACTGTGCTCACTGTCCTACCACAGCTTGCTCCGTGTCACACAGGCCAGGTGGGGAAAGGACAGCGGAATTCTCCTCTCTGCCAACTTTTTGTGGACCCAAAAGCCCAGGAAATCTCTGAAAAGTTCTATGAATTAATTCAAAACCTGGGGCTGAGGGAAAGGAGGCAGCTCCCAACCTCCAAGGCTGGGGAGTGACACCAGAATTCCCTTCAGCAGCATCCCATCCTCCAATCCTCCACCCACTGTGACAGGAATTCCCTGCCATTGCTCCCCTCAGCTTTGGCAAAGGTTAAAACTCCCCCAGGAGCGAATTGGCTGCTGGTCCCACCCCAGAGCTCTGCTCCAAGGGCAGAGGCAATGGGAATGATTCCATCAAGCAGCAACCTGGGAATGAGAGTGGAATGTTGCCCTTCCCCCTGCTGTGGCTCTCCTGCTCCGCATGAAACAGCTCCCATGATAAAGAACAGGAGAATGGAGACCAGGGAAGGAGCCTGAGGAGCATCCATGACTCCCAGGGCAGGTACTGTCCCTGCAGTGATGGATTCCAGGTCACTGTTCGCTTCCAGAATCCCTGAGGATCTCTCCCCACCCAGCCTCGGGCTGCAAAGCCTCTGGTCCCTCGTGCAGCCAACACTCACCAACATCCTCTGGATGGGAAGAGATTCCAGCAGGCTCTGGGATGTCCCTGCCACACAAATGGGAGCAACAAGGCCAAAGCTCTCAGAGTCTGGGGCTTTCCAGGGCCTGTGTGACTCGAGGGGCAAAACTGGGAAGTGGTGAGCAAGAGTTAGCCAGGGTCATCCACAGAAAGGAGAAACCAGAGAGCTCATGGGCTGTGTGCCCTGCGGGAAGCAAAGCCTGGGAACCTGCAGAGTCCAAAAAGGCAAGTCCAAGTGACTGGTTTAAGTTTAAGGAGCAGCCTTTCACCAGAGGAAGTGGGGATGCAGGACAGGGGGCTGGAGAAGGCAGGGGGAGGATGCAAGGCAGGAGGGAAGGCAGAGAACCCACCCCCCCAAAGCTTCATTTTTGTCTTCCCTAACTCGGCAGCTTTTCCATGGCATTCACAACATACATCTGAGCAGGGAGGCTCCAGGTGGGAACAGGGGGAGAAAGGGAGGAAGAGAGAGAGAGAGAAAGAGAGAGAGAGAGAAAGTGTGAAGGGCACCGTGGTGCCAAAGTGCAACAACATAAAAAAATAAACTCAAATGACAGGACACTCATTCTGCACTCAGGGCTCAAACCATGCAGTGAGAGGGGAGCTGGGGCTGCTCCCCACCAGTACCCAGGGGTTCATTGCTCGCTTGGGGATGGTTTGGCAGCCCCGGGGGCGATGAGCGCGATGTT